CGTGATAACACTTGACGCGTATTAGCTTACCCAGTTCGTTCCCTAGGCTATGTGCCTCCTAAGGTTATGTGAATTTACACCTGTTAGCTACAGGCTGCGACCACAGATACGAACAATTTCTGTGGGTTGGCTGGCCTCCTACAGAAGAAAATTTTCTGTAGAAAGTTAATTCACTCACTTGTAATTGATGTTTTGTGTTAAAAAAAATGCGTTGCTTGCTATGCTGAGTAACCAGAATAGGAATTGTTTAGCTTAACATACTTGATCCTAACCTCTAAATTTACAGCCTCAGCTAGCAATTTGTCATCTGCTAGCTTTACTTTTCAAAGACTTTACGAAGTCCTCAAAAGACGGCTGAACCTCAGAGATTTGGACTACCACATGGGTGCAACTGCTGCATTTTCAGGCCTCCCATTTCTGCTACTGGTTCTACTCAGCCTCCACAGCACCTCTTATCCTGGCAGCTGGTCTGAAACCTGCACTCCAAAACCCGGAGAAGAGGAAAATCCTTTTCCATTTAGCACACATTTGATAAACAGAACTACTTATTTAGGACTGTGTACAGAAATGTTGGACCTTAGACTTGGATCATGCTCTAATTTGAGATAGGAAGTTCCTACATCTTGATGTGAAAAGTTTCCATCACGGCTTTAACTAGGCCAAGCCTCAAAGACAACTTCAGTCTTCCAGGTGGGTATCAGCGCTTATCTGGGGATCTGGACCAGACTACACGTATATTTTGTGCCCCAGTGAAAGGTGACTATGTTGAAGAACAGATTTAGACAGAAAGCTTGTACTCTGTAGCAGCACGCAATGTAAACCCGTATTTAAAATTATTAGGATTTCTCTTCCTGACCTATCTTCTAGAGAGCTGGGAGGAAAGATCAGAGTTCCTTCAATGACCTTTTTGATGAAATTATCCTGCTAGATGAAACTATAAAATACCAGCAGTAGTGAGAGAAAAGCCAGAGATCAGGGGATGAATCAGCCTTCCAAATGACTTTTGTCAAAAAGCTAAGAGATTAATATTAATATATTTTATTTCTTTCCTCCCAGGCCACGAATGCTGACAGCATTCTTGTTACTTCATGTGCACATGTTCCAAATGAACACAGAAACACAGGGGACCTTGCAAAAAAATACTTTATTTCCCTATCCTACAGGGCATTTTCTCCCTAAAGTAGGAATTATAGATTTATATGTAAATTCCTGAAGCTGCACATACAATCTTTAAATATGATATTCTGTCCTTAACAGGTCAAAAAAATCGGTAATCCAATGTATTATATCTTATACGCATTAGGTGGCTATAAAAACAGCACAGGTTAAGACTGTAACTGTATCTTGATTTGTAAAACTTGCAATGGGTAGGTTATAGTAGTGCCATTCTGGGAGACGACACTCTTGCAATTCACCAGAGGAAATTAGTTTTGATCCATTAAAGTAAATCACATAACTTAGCAGAGAGGTTAAACTTTGCTATTTAAAGAAGAAATCCGCCATTCTTTGTATCTGCTTAAAACCGTTTGTCACGAAGACCGTAAGTTCATCAGGAGACACTGTCTGCTAAAGTGTCTCTACTTCAGTGCCCAGAAGCAATGAAACCCTAATCCCTGTTGAGGTCTCTTGATGCAACTAGAATATTAAAACTAATTGCTATTACTAATTTTAGCAGTTTATATTTACAGAAAATAAGTATCTCGGGTCATTTGGCACCTAGAGCTAAACTTTCATTATTTTGTGTTTTTCAAACAGTTACTAGGTAAATTGTCTTTTGCTGTTATTTTTTGTGCTTGCTGGTGTAACTGGCATGCTGCCTCAATAACAATATTATTATAGCATAGTTCTGTGTGGTTTTTTTCCATATTTTAGGGAGCTTAATTGCTGAGTGAGGAAGATAGATGATCTTTCAGGAGAATCCAGATGAACATTACTCATACACAATAAAATTGCCTCCCTCATCAGCTGCCACATTTTGAGAATACCATTTTAAACGTTGTTTTGCATTAAAGATATTGCTGTAGCAATGAAAACTCTATCTAGAGATAATTCGCATATTCAAAGTACATCACTACTCCATGTTCTCTTATTTTTCTCCACTGAAATTGAATACTAACCCCCAGGAAAAAGACAGTCATCTTAATTTTGCACAGGTAAACTGTACCTATATTTGTGAGTTCCAGTTAAAGGAATACAATCACTCTCATTCTGTAACACACATGTTTACTGAACGGGTATAGCATGGTAATATGGAATTAATTTCCATTTGCTTTCAAAAAAATATTCTTATTTCACTTAAACTTAGCGTGCTAGATTCAGCAAGGACATCTGGAGCATGGCCACTGGGTGGACCACGACCAATACTTCAAGAATTTCATAAACTGATTTGAAACTTCATTCATAAATCAATCTGTACCAGAAAACAGTACAGAATGAGCTCATCCACAAGGAACTTGGATGTCAACATTTTATTTATTCACCTAATTTATTAAGGATGCCAATCCAAGCTCATGCCAGCCCTGGCAAGTTTGCATCGCTATCTTTGCCATCCCTCACGTACAAACACGAGTATTAAATCTGTACCTTGAACCTGGAAAACAGAGAGATGAACATCTATAATGCTGGCAAGAATGCTGGGGTATTTTAAATCTAGAATGATACAGATCTTCAGGACCAATGCTCATGAACTTAAAAGGAAAGCTCCACGTGCGCGCGAGATCTGCACAACCTTCCGTGTGTTCAGAGCGTTGGGGGGGATCACCCTGTGAAAGGATGACTCGATTGATCGCAGTCTACAAAACACACAGAGAAGCTCTGTGAGCAGTAAACCATACAAAAACAAAGAGTCTGTGGCTGAAAGCTTATGCTAGCCAAACATGGTTTTGGAGAACACCTCTCTTAGGGTAGAGGATGTACCCAAGACCAAAATCCTGATTCCCAAGGATGTGATGGATTTTCTACCACTTCAAATGTCATTTAAAGACCTTCCTCTTTCTAGAAGTTTGGCTCTCGTTCTGTCAAATGCTATGTGCTCGATGCAGGAATCCTGAACTGCAGGACCATGGCTTGAGCTGCATAGTTCAGACTACATGACCTCAATATTACCTCCTGACAAAAGGTGTCTTATCAGCTCTATGCATACTTCATGCTCCCACCAGTAAATCAGTCCTTTAGCCTTAAAATATCTGTGGCAGAGACCACATATTAACAACTCTGTAAATAAAATCAAAAGTGGAGTTTCATGCCAAGTTTTCATGTCCTACTACACATGAGTAATTCCTCAAACTCCAGTGGAATTGCTCCAGATTTATTTCAGAGAGAGCAGTCCTCAGCCAACAGCCCTAAGCGAACAAGTTCACGATCGTGCTTTTTGATACTTCCATTGTTCTAGCTCTCCTCATGAGAACACCCCAAATCCTCCTTCCCTCCTCCCAAACACACACTGTGAAAAGCAGAAACAAACAGCACCCCATGAGGATGTCCCCAAATTTAATAGCTTGGCATCCAAACCATGATTTTTAATCTTCAGATTATGCTGACACCAGGGAGCCAGGGTGCCCTGGGAGCCAGGAGGCGGCACTGGGCCACAGACCCCAAGGGCATGTAGCCTCTGGTGGCCATCCCAGGGGAGGGCATGGTCCCAGCAGCAGGGAAGCAACTCCATCCACAGCTCAGAACTGGAATGGGCATTAACAGCTTGTGCCCGGCTCCTGACCAGTCGTAGGAGCTGCTCCCTTCTCCTCCTTCAACATCCAACAGTTGAAACCAAAACTGCTGACTTGGCAAGCATTTAATACAAATTTCTCTACCATGCCACCTTCCACAGCAGCAGTATTGCCCACCAACAGCACAGCAAGGAACTTTTTTCTCTCTTTTATATCTAACTAACCCGTAGCCAACTAAGAACTCTGGACACACGAACTCTGATCTCATAGTTCAGATCTGCCAGAGACGCACAGAGGTTTGCCTGCTGAAAAGCAAATGCACAATAACTGGTGGTATTGAGCCAGTCTTTGAAAGTAAAACCATAGCATGAAAGATCTGAACCGGTGGTGCGTATTTGCCTTCTATTATTTCCCTGGATTTTTTCCCACCCTGGCTAAGCCTAATCATTGGGAACATCTCCTTAACATCAACAAGCCCAGCTTCTAGTCACGACTACTAACACGGTCCTTGAAATCTAGCAACAGCATCTAACTGCTCTTCCGCTGCTTCCAGTGGAGCTGGTCTTGCAGGGCACACAACCTCCTGCCAGTTTTTTGCTGACCATTTTCACAATACCGAAGAGGTAATGAAGCACCATTTTAATCCAGGGTTGCAATCACCAGATAACTAATGTAATATTTAAGGCTAGTACTCACAACATGCTTGCCATAACCAAATGGAAAGAAGATTTCATGCCTTTTTTTAATAGGCACCGTTACTTCTCCGCAGGGGTATCTGCTCCCTGCCTGATTCTTAGATGTACACTTTGGGGTCAAATCAAACAAAAAAAATCAAATACATTTCGATTCATATCTCGGAGTGCATTAATTTGCTTCATGGCCTTTCCCTTGCCATTCTAAATTTGAGCTGTGTTCTCGTCGTTTATCATAAAATAGAGTTGTTAACTATGAGGCAATAGAAAAAAGAGCAAATAAGGCAGTGACATTTATTACAGTAAGAACTAATTTGATTACTACACACTTTCAACTACTATTTCATTTGAAGCAGTCTGAAAGGCAAGAGCCTCGCTTGTCACACAGCAGAGCACACATTCTGCTGCCGAAAAGCGCTGAATACAGAGTATTCCCCTAAAACTTTACAACATATTTCCAGCTCCTTGGAAAAAATTTCTTCAGAAGAGGGTTGGGTTTTTGTTTGGCTTTTTTTGTTTGTTTGTTTGGATTCTGTTTGGGTTTTTTTCTTGTGTTTTTTTTTTTGTTTGTTTATTTGGTTTTTTGTTAAGTAACTACTTAAAGGCTTCTTTAGTGGAATTATTATGGTGCCCCACAAAAAGCATTAAAGAGGAACTGGGTTCAGACAGAGCTACAACTGGAAGATTTCATGACTCTGGTTTGGAAAGCATTTCGAGTATACCCAACCATTTATCTTAGTACAAGGGCTGAGAGATATAAATATTTTAATAATAAAAAGGTGTTAAAGTTATTTCAAAGGAAGAGTAAATCTTTAAAAAATTCCTCTGTATGATATGGGCCAGTTTATTAAATTAGGTGAGGGCACGAGGAGTGCAAATGCAGCCTCGCAGGGTTCCCCAACCACCCACCTCGGGATGCCTGAGGAGCAGGAGGAAGCTGGACCACCCTGCCGTCCTGCCCCCTCTCCTAGCCGGGCCAACAACGTCCCCGGTACTTAAGGCATGTTTTCACTCTGTTCAGAAGTGAAAATACCACAGAACGATTGCAGTATTTTGTGGGATTTAAGTATGACGCCATCCACAAGTTTTCAGAATTACACAACCTCCCATGTTTCCTGGAGAGGGGAAGGAATTCCAGGACATCATCCATTTACTGCTGAACAAGATGTCAAAATATGTGTATCAAAAGTTCTTATGCCATTCATCAAGGATATCTGAAATACTTTGTATGCTCTTAATGAAGCTTTCAGTCTAGTCCAGGTCTCAATGGAAGTGGTGAAATTATTGGATTTATTGTATTGTTCACAGCTATTCTGCCTTACATCAACCTTTATTTTTTTCTTTTTCTTTTTTTCTTGCTTACTTCAGAAGGAGTCTAAGCTTTGCAGAAGATGGAAGGAACACAAACAGTCTGGTAATCTGAAGTGGTTATTTACACAGAAGAGCAGTAGCTGTTCAAGAGTTCCAAAACCTAACAGCTTTGTGAAAAGCTTTTTCCATTTTTTTCCATAAATGGATAATTAAATCATATTTATTCTCAAAAACAAACCAAAACCCCCAGCTCCTGATACGCTGCAGGATTTCTGCTGGGAAGATACCGAGGATCAACAGCATATTTCATAGCTACAGGGGCTCCTTCTCTCACTGCCACTGGTCTCCTACCCCCTCTGACTGTCACACTAGAACTTAAGGCATCGCCTAACAACGTGGACTTCTCTCCCTCTCACAAAGGGAGAAGTTGCACATCTCTCTCTCTCTCTCTATATATATATGCATAGCTTTTGCTAGTGTTAAAAAACCCACCTGGTATACATACCAGTGTGTGAAGGTGCACATGCCTGCTCACTTGTGCAAACGTGTGTGTACTACCAGTAAAAGAGAAGAAGTATGAAAATGTGTACTGCTATATTCATTAATATTTCTAATTTAAACTTCAACCAAGTAGACTTCTCTATATGGATCAATGCTATTGCTTGTATATACATTTTAATTCTTCAAGGAGCATACCTGTGAGATATAACCGGGAGGCACATGAATAGGAGGAATGGATCCATTGGGTGACATCATGGGAACCTCTGCTGGTCCTAATAGAGAGAGAGAAATAAGATACTCGTTTTTTCAGTGAAAAAAATTGCACAATTGCTCAGAAAAGGCTAAAAATAGCTTTATTTTTGAAGCCTGCAATAACAAAATGAGCAGCTCCACTAATTCCTGGTGTATGGAAAATGCCTTGTGCCATCATTCTGAGAATAAGATCATTGTTCAATGACTTTACCATATATTCCGTTGAAATAATATTTTCATCATAAACCGGCTAAAACATAGACTTTATATTACCCACTGATCAACTTCTACAGCATTAAGCAGTAACACAATATGTCCTTTAGCAGCCCACAATTCCTATATTGAAATCTGGTTAAGTTATTCTTGTCAGAGGCATGGGAGCAGAGAACAAAGCAGAAACTGTGCAGCCTGGAATTAGGCAGCTCCTAAGGAAAGCGTCCAATTGTAGAAAAAAAATCACATATGTGAAAAACTATCTATCTGTTTAAGAATGCACAAAGACCAAATTCATTATCTCAGCTATTCAGACTAACCTTGGAATGTGGTTATACAAGCAAGAAGCTTATGGTTTCCACTCCGAAATCCAGCCCTGAACATGCAAGTTCCATTTTGAGGCACTGAGTACAAGTATAATAAAGCAAGTGCCATAACCATTCGACTTTTGCAAACAGAGCCTCCCAGCTAAAAGAAAGCGTCTAGATGAAATGGAAATAGTTCGCTCAATTGCTCATTGATTCAGCCATTAAAATCGGGAACATCACACAGAGCTGTCAATAAAATGAACCCCGCAAACATCAGACAGATGTTTGCAATCAGAGTTCACTACTTTGAAAAAGAAAAATTCATTTCATTACTTCCTTATTACATATTAAAATGTTTACACTAACCTGTTAGCTAGCCCATTTGCCATGGGCTAAGAAAACAGCTGTGGTCAAACTCTTGAGAAGAGCTCAGCGAGAACTCTGCTCCTTGTTATTGCAAACTGAATTTTAGCTTTGACTAACAATACCAAAGATGACTTCCTAACCTTCTCTGATGGAGAAGCCATCTAACATCTCCAAACCATATCACATTCTAGGTAAGGAAGCTAAGCACTAAAACATATGAAGGACTTCAGGCACAGGTGGGATGCAATGGCCTTTGGAGTGACTGCTCCTAAAGTTTAGACAACTCTAATGAAATCACCAGCAACGAAGTGAGCCACGGTCTGTTGTCTGGTATCAGCAAAACCAGTCCACATTAAATTATCAAAAAGGCCTTTCCTATCCATCTACATTTTTATACTCCTCAGGCTGCTTATCGTACAATAAGCAGGACTTCCCAACCTCTCAAAATCCAAGTTACGCACAGGAATCCATCCGAGTTATTTATACCTCCTCTGATCTCGGTTCCTTTTCTCTATCCAGTTATTTATAGTCTAATCAGCGCATACGGTTTTTACTAGTCACATCTAGATTTGAAATATGGCAATTTATCATCAAGTGTATTAAGCACATGGAAACTCCGAAGTTTAAATTAAAAGAAGTCATTTTAGGTATATGGTTCTGCTGCTCTTCGTACTTCCCTATATTTAACTATGTAGGGAACTTTACCTGTACTACAGCCCCAGTAAGGAAAAAAAAGAGCAATTATTACTTCTTCTTATTCATAGAATCACAGAACCATTTAGGTCAGAAAAGCCCTTTAAGATCATCGAGTCCAACCGTTAACCCAGCACTGCCAAGGCCACCACCAACCCATGTCCCTAAGCACCACATCTCCCCGGCTTTTAAATCCCTCCAGGGATGGGGACTCAGCCCCTGGCCTGGGCAGCCTGGGCCAGGGCCTGGCTGCCCTTTCCGTGAAGAAGTTTTTCCTATAGAAAATTCAGCTCATATGGGTGTTTCCCCCCCCCCCCCCCCACTCCCCCCCCTTCACCTCTT